AAAAAATAAAAATAAAATAGAGCCTCGGTTTGTCCCACACTGACTACCGTCATGAATGGTATCGAAATTTCCTGGGAAGGTTTTCAGAAAGCCGGAAATTGTTGAATTTCCGCAAAGCGAACCATTTAACTGAAAAAATTCGGAAAAATTCCGCGACGAAAGTCAACTGGAACGGAAATTCTCGATTAGAAATTTCCGAAAATTTCGGTATGTAATTCCACATAATGGGCGCCTTCCATTCGATAAAAAATCCTTGGATTTTTGGAGAAGAAGACAACCTTGCGAGGTATACCGAAATTTTGACTGTAGTGAGAAGGTAACTAAAAGTTAAAAGTGTGATACACCAGCGTATCTTTATTTCTTAGTCTTTCCAGGGAGAGGAAAAAATAAAATGAATTAAAATAAAACATAAATAATAGCAAGAAGCCGGCGGGAGAAGAAAAATGGCCGCGCGAGATCTGGGGGCGGAACGCGCCTTGTCACACACTTTTTGCCCCAGATTTCGCGCGGTTATTTTTCTTCTTGTGTTTGGCATTACCTCTCTTACGCTCAGCGATACAAGAAATAAGACGGCATTAGTAGTCTTAATGTATAAAAACTCTTGACAAAGACTCAACATAGAGGCATAACAACCGATTTAAATCATAGTGTTGAATTAGTTGAATCCGTTTGGTGATAGCTTGCCAGGCGGTGATTGTAGTGTAGTGACAGTGACGTTTACGTCACGTGACATTGGAAACCATGTGCTAAAGCGAGTCCGCCATCTTGTCGATAGAATCGTTGTGTTCCTACAATATTGTGTGTTTTCTTCTCTTGCGAAGCTACTACAGTGATATCCTCTGTAAATATTGTTGTTATTATTATTATCATCATTATCATCATCATCATCCTCATCGTCATTATCATTATCATTGTCATTGTTATTGTTGTTATTGTTGTTGTTATTATTATTATTATTATTATTATTATTATTATTATTATATGCAAATGATGTGGAAGGAGTCTTTTATGTGTAGTCAGTTTTGTATGCAGTAATCATGAGCTGGAAACCCAACTACACTTTTCTTATGGTTTTGTTAACTCAAATAAGATGCTTTGCTATTTCAGGCGTTCAATTAAAAGGGACTTGCCAGCGTTTCCCTGCTCCTGTTTTAAATTAAATGCGCTTTATTGAAACAAGTTGTTAGAATAAACTACGAAATGAATAAATTTATGCAAGAAAAACCTTCAACGTTTCTTTCGTTGTTGAATATTTTCAATAATATTTTTTCTTTTTCAGTCTTTCAAGGTCTAGGACACCTTGTCCCACTTTTCAAGTTTCTCTGTCTGTGTTGAAAGCCTAGTTATTTGCCAAATTGAAGCGAACAAAGGCAAAATAGCCGACTAAGCGAGTATGTGTAGCTTAAGTTTCGAGAAAGTCAGAGTCAATGTCGTTTTCTCTAGCCTTATCGTCTCGATTTGTGCGCTTATAACATACCTAAAGCCCTGGCCAAACGGACTGGCAAGTAGTCGCAAGAAGCCGCAAGTTGACCTTGCATGAAGACGTCACTCAACTTACGTTAATTTGAGTTGGCCATGGGTGGCCACGGCAAACGATGAGAAACTTGCGTCGACTTGCGTGCAAGTTTGATCTCGACCAAAGTAAGCGTAACTCACCGCAAGTCAACGAAAGTTCACTTAAGGCCTAGCTAAATGTGGTCGTAATTAGCCAGGTCTTTTGGCCAGGTCTTACTTGCACTTCCTTGCATGCGTGCAAAAGCTTCCAACTTGTGTCTAATTGTGATACCGTTTGGCTGGGGCTTAACAGTCTAATAGTGCGTGGACGCTACGAAGGAGGTAGCTTTTTGGTCACGATGCCCAGGACAAACTGCACCGTTGTCATAAATCCTGTCACGGAAATCAACACTTTGGTCACATTAACACCGAACAGTCTGAACGCAAAGTAACTGGCCATCTGAACCCGGTTAATGAAGAAGTCCAAGGAGGTAATGCTGAACTGTCCCAGGGGCCTGTCATCCGACTGCAGCCGTGTGCAGTTGACCCATTCAAGGAACCTGTTACATTGCACCGTTACCATGGCAGCCCAATAAAGGGGGAACATAAAGAAGAAGAAGACCAGGCTGGAGAAGAGCATTTCACAGCCGGTGATGAATCCATCAGGAAGCGACAGTCTGGGCGCTGGAAGAGGCTCCGTCCACGAACAGTTATAGAACACCAACCTCACCACGTCCGTTTCACCCGCGTCCGATGCCAGGATCTGCCATAAATGGAAATCGACGAGCCATATGACGATAAAGCTAATGACATTAACCAGAAGCCACCATTTGATTGCCTCAACTTCGCGGTACATGAAATCGCAGAGATCCTGGTATTCGTTGATGGCTTCACGCAGCCCCTCTGACCAGGATTTGAATTTGCTCTTGAAGTCATCGATTCTGGAGTTGATGACCGAGCAAACCGAATTGAAAATCAAATTCATTGCTACACTTACCGAAGCACAGTAAATGTAACCCAGGAAATAAATAACGCAAATCTGAAGCCATGGCACGGGAAGAATAGACTGCGTGACATACAAGTAGACAAGAAGAGCAAGATACGATGATGGTCAAAGTGCCAAACAAGGTTAACACGATTACACACGTTCGGCAAAAGTTGGCACGTTCGATCGCCAGGTAAACGTTTTTTCGAAGGCGTCCACGATGTCTGTATCCGTAAAGAGCCCCGAAATGATGCGAAAGAGCACGACCCGAGAAAAGCAATATTGTAGGTAAACCGCTTGATGAAGACATGATCGGGTCTTTTGCCACGCAAATTGAACGATACATCGGCGGTATCCGGGTTATCACGGCAATTAACAGCATCAACAAGTTGCCGAGCCTTCTAGATCTGTCTCCAGTAACAAGACCCATCAACTGCAGCACTTTGAAGACTTCAGTTGTTCTTTTCTCCAAGAGATCAGCGTTCGAAGGTTCTCTTTCGGTTTCGTTTCCACTGCTGTCATGAGTGTCACGATTTAACAAAGGAAGTTCAACTGAACCATACTCACTGAATGTTGAACCCAAAAGTGGTTGCAAAGCGGGAAATTGCTCGGAAACTGTCGACGACATTTCAAAAACTATCTGATGGTTTTTGATTCATCCTTGCTTGTCTTAAAGTCATGATCGATTCGTGGAAGAAAAGACCAGAAAACAGGAAACGATTTCCATTCTCACTCCCAGAGCTCTCTCTCAATGTAAAGGAACAAGCATTTAGGGGCCTGGAACGAATCTAGAAACTGGATAATGATCTGACCTGTTTGAGCCAATTCCCTAATTAATAATTAGGTGGCAGTCTCTCTAAAAGCGGTCCACTGCATTTATGGTCGGAAAAAAGGTTTTCCCTCAAACTTTTCTCAGTGAACTATCTTGCGTCATAAGTAAATGCAGACTTAAGTTTTTGCAAATACGTCAAAATATATTTTTTTTTAGAGCTCAAAACAATCATAGCCGGGAAACGCCTAAATTTGAGCGTTCCAAGGACGGAAAATTGCCTAAATTGACGAGCTCGCTGCT